TGCGTGACTTCTTTCTTTCCCGTTGCTGCTTTTAATATTCTCTCTTTGTCTTTAATTTTTGCCGTTTCAGTTACGGTGTGTCGTGGTGTGGTTCTCTTTGGGTTCATCCTATTTGGGACTCGTGTGATTCCGGGACCTGGATGTCCGTTTCCTCCCCCAGGTTAGGGAGTTTTTCAACTTTCATGTCTTCAGGGATGTTCCTTGCCCCTCTCTCCTCTCCTTCTGGGACCCCATAATGCGAATGCTAGTGTGCTGGATGTTGTCACAGAGGCCTCTTAAACTGTCCTCATTTCTTTTTATTCTTCTTTCTGTTCAACCTCACTGACGTCCACTCCTCTGTCTTCTGGTTCGCCGGCCCATTCCTCTGTGTCACCAATCTGCTGGTGATTCCTTCTTGCGTGTTTTTTAATTTCAGTTCCTCATCTCAGTTTGTTTCTTCTTTGTATTTTCTCTGTGTTAGACTCTTGTAGCCTCGCGCTGTGCTCACCCAGTCTTCTCCCAGGTCCTCTGAGCATCTTTACAGCCACAGCCTTGAGCCCTTTATCCAGTAGGTTGCACATCCCCTCCACTTCGTTCTTCCCTGGGGTTTTATCTTGTTGCCTCATATTCCTCTGTTGTCTTATTTTGCCTAATTTGCTGTTTTTACTCCTATGTACTCGGAGGTTGGTTGCACTTCCAAAGCTTGGAGACGAGGCCTTTAATAGGAGTCCTTTTACGTCACCAGCACTTCCCCTGTGGTCACCAGAGCTGTATGCTCCAGGGGTGTCCCTGCATGGCTGTGTGGGTCCTTCTGTTGTGGTGGGTGACTATGTGGGTGATCTGGTAGGTGTGGCAGCCCCCTGGTCTGGTTGGTTGCCAGGCCCAGCCTTGTGAGGAGGCTCTGGTCGCTTGTGGGTGAGGCTGGGTCACTTGGCACCTGGTTGCAGAGGCCCGGATAGTCCCAGGGCTAGTTTTGGCCCACTGGTGGGCAAAGCTGGGTTCCAGGGTGAGTGGCTGCAGGGCCTGGTTGTCCAGGAGCTAGCATCAGGCCACTGGTGGATGGTGCTGGTTCCTGACATGGTTGGCTGCAGGATCTGGGGTGTCCCTCCCAAACTGGTGTCAGCCTGCTTGTTAGTGGGGCCAGGGCAGCTAGCTGAGGGGTCCAAGGTGTCTTGGAGCTGGTGTTGGTGGGCAGGGCCAGGGCACAGGGGTGTCCGGGGCCTGGTGTCCACCTGCTGGTGGGCAGGCTGGGTCCTTACGCAGCAGGCTGTGGGGCTGTGGTGGTCCTGGGCTGGCGCCTGCCCTCTGGACAACAGGGCTGGGGCCTACCTGCGGGTGGGCGACGCTGGGTCCTTGGGTCTCCCCTTGCAGGCCTGGGGGTCCAGGAACCAGTGTAAGTCCACTGGTGAGCAGAGCTGAGGCCCAGGGCTCCTGGGGTGCCTGCCCACTGGTGTACAGGATCAGGCACTGGGCCCTCAGGTGGACAGAGCCAGGTTCTGGGGCTGCTGTGTGCTCTGGGGGTCTTAAGGCAGCCGGCCTTCTGGTGGGTGGGACTGTGCCCCCTGCCCAGCTGCCGATCAGCCTGAGGCGTCCCCGTGCTAGTGCCGACAGGCTGCTGGGCGGGGCCGGGCCCCGGCGCTGACTGGTAGAGGAGGACTCCACAGTGACACCTGCCAGCACCAGTGTCCACGTGGCAGAACGAGCTCCCAAAAATGTCTGCCCCCATGTCTGTGTCCCCAGGGTGACCACTAATCTCCTCCTGCATCTCCAGGAGGCTCCCCTTGACCAGCACGTGGGTCTGACCCAGGCTGCTCTCAAGTTACTGCTGCTGCCGTGGGCCCTGGAGCAGGGGAGTCTGTGTGCGCTGTGAAGTGGAGCCTCTGTTCCCCCGGCCCTCTGGGTCTCCTGGACGTAAGCCGTGCTGGCCTTCAAGCCAGATGTGCTGGTGGTTCACCCTCCCAGCGCAGGACCCCTAGACGGGGGAGCCTGAAGTGGGGCTCAGACCCCTGGCTCCTGGGGGAGCTTCTGCAGTTGTGCTTGTGCTGCGGTGGTGGGTCGCCCCCCAGGTGTGGTCCTGACTTCACCACGTCTCACCCTCCTACCTGTCTCGTTGCGGCTCCTTCTCTGTCTTCAGTGGGAGAAGATCTTTCCTGCTAAGCTTCTGGTCCTTCTCGTCAGTCTGGCTCTGTGAATCGTGAGGGCCTTGGCGCCGTGGGGGCGGTGAGCTCAGGGCCTCCCTACTCCGCCACCCCAGCCGCATCCTCGCTGTTTCTGATTCGGGCTGATTGATTTGGTCAGAGATCAGACGTGTGGGAGTTTAGTCCTTGGATACGTATTGAGTCCTGCTTTGGGACCAGTAGATCATTTTTCTAAATATCCTGCGTGTGGTTTAAGGGCGCTTAGAGCCCTGTGCTTGTTTATATTCTGCGTGCGCCTGCAGGGCTCAGGCTGCTAATGGTGCTGCTTGAACGTATGGCATCGATGACTCAGGGTGTCTGGCTTTGCGTCGGTTCCCGAGAGAGTCAGGCCAGCCTTTCCCGCTGAAGTCTGTGCCTCGGACCTTCCCGCTGGTCTGCCGGCCTTTGCTCCGTCTACTCTGCGCGTTGACTCCCGGGTGCAAGGCTGCCGTGTCTTCCCGGTGACCGAGCGCGTGGTCCCAGCGCGGCCTCCGCTGCCGCGCCTGCTTTTCCCTGAAGTATTTCTGTCTGTTTCTAGACAACTGCACTAGCTTCCTAGTTACAGTTTCTATAGTGTGTCTTTTTCTGACTTTCAAAATGCAGTGCTTCTGTGCGTTATTGTTGTAGAATTCTCTTTTAAATGGAAAAAAGTTAGCTTTTTGTTGTGTTTGGTTTTTCAATCCAGTTTGGTAAGGTGGTTTTCTTTAGCCTGGTCACTTACATATTTGTATTCTTGCCTTCACTTAGGTTTCAACCTGATAATTTCTTATTGTCAGTTCTTCAAGTTTCTTAAGATAATTAAAATAGATTCTTCCCAGCATTTCAGGTCATTTTCACGCTGGCCAGGCAATTCCCAAAACAGGTTCCAGCTGCTTCTTAAGCATGTTTTAGCAAATCCCAGTCTGATCGTGTTTCACCTGCACGTCAGGGCCGCCTGGGTCCCAGCCCGCCAGCTCGTGTGACGCACGTGGGGCTTCGGGGACACTCCGCTTATCCTTGCACTCCCTGCCTTCTGCGTTGTTCACGCTGTTTCTTCTTCCATTTGCTCATCTCTGTGGACTCACGTACTGAAAAAAACAGAGCCCTTCCCCTGTCGCTTAAAGGAGGGCTTGAGGTGGATCAGAGGCCACCTGCCTGGACCTGCTGCCCTTAACCAGATGTCCAGGCTGTGTGTGGTTTGATGTGGTCGTTTTAAACAGAGCTGTGTGTGTGAGGTTCCACCTCTCGTCTGACTGTCAGTCACACTGCTGTGCATGTGACGCGACGAGCACGTGAACCCACTGGTGCGGGGCGTCTTCCGAGTGCCCCACCGTTTGCAGGCTGGGGGGCTGGCAGGTGTTTTCAGGTGGGGGGAACATTGTTGGTATTTTACAAGCTGCCTTAAAATTTTGCCTGTCAGAACTTCAGTGCATAACTGTTTCTTTGCAGCGTTTGAAAAATAAATTAGTGACATCGATTTATTAATTATCAAGGAAACATTAGGCTTTAGAAATATTTTTCAGAGAATTACGTGGAAGCAATTGCTAAATTAAGCAATGGAAACAAACTCATCTACAATTTTATCGCCTTGTACGTAGTGCCAGTGTTCAATGTGAACACTGCATACCAAGCTCTACACAGGCAAGCTCCCAGCTTTTCCGAAAGGATAATCAAAGCACAGTGAAGACTCTGACATTCCCTAAGAACTGTTCTGAGCTGCGCCCGTGCGTGTGTTCTGCTGAGGTAACAGCACGCTGCAATGTACGCGCTGTAACACGCACACAGGTTAAACGTGCGTTTGGATGAGTCCGACGGTTGTGTTCGCCTGTGTAACCACCACCCGAGACAAGGCAGCGTTTCCATCCCCCTGTGGCCGCCTCCACCCCCATTCCCACTGTCCGGTTTCTGTCGTCATCTGTCTGTACCGGGTTGCGCGACTTTTTGATTGAAATAGGGCTGGTGTACAGTGTTGTGCTAGGTTCGTGCACAGCATGGTGATTCGGTCGTACACATACAGGTATATGTTCTTTTCATATTCTTTTCCACTGTGGTCTGTGACAGGACACTGAGTGCAGCTCCCCGTGCTGTGCAGTGGGACCTTGTCGGTCTGTTTTCTGTACAGCAGTTACTGCCTGCAAATCCCAGGCTCCTGCCCTGCCCTCCCCCACTGCACGGGGGCACCGCCGGTGCTCACCTGACGCCGATCCTGCGGCCCCTCCCCAGTGCTGAGTGTGCCAGACCTCAGCCTTCCGCGTGGTTCCCAGGGGTGGTTCCTGTGCGTGAACGTGCCGCAGTCTGTTTGTGGCTCTCGTTGGTGATGACACAGATCTGGGCTGATTGCACTTTGGGGCTGTTATGAGTAAGGTGGCTACGAACATTCCTGCACCAGTTTTCTGTGGACATATTTGTTTCTCATGAGCAAATAGCTCAAAGTAGCGTTTCCGGGTCCCAAGGAAGTGCACGTGACAGCCCTGGGGGTCACGATCCAGTGTCCGGTGGTTTTGGTCTGAGGCGTGAACAGGCAGCAGTCCTGTGGCTTCACTTGAGAACGAAGACGCTGCACAGAGTTCCAGGAGCTCCGTGGCCTTTCGTACGTCTTCTTTTGTCGTGTCTGCTATAAAGTTGTCGGCCCTTTTCAGTTGGAGTTTGGACTTCCTGCTGCAGATTCTGGGCTTCTCTGTCATCTCCCGGGTGCACAGCCTTCGTCAGATATGTGTGCTGCAAATACTTTCTCGCACTGTGGTTCATCTCTTCATTTTCTTAATGTCTTTGTCGAAGAGGAATTGTTAATTCTTATGAAGTCTGATGTTTTAGTTTTCTTAATCCGTGATCTCGTTCATCTATAGCTTGTGCATTTTTTTGTAGCTGATTTCTGCCTCCCAGGATGGAAGAGGACGCCAGCCTGCCGCCTGAGGAGACACTTTCGGACGGCGCCCCCCTCGTGGAAGACGGTAATGCAGATGCGTCTTTTCACAGATAGCTCGTGTTCCAACAGCAAGGAAGGCAAACGCCGTGCCTCACCGTTGCCCTTTAACTTCCTTTTTCCGGGGAGACTAAATCTTTTAAGCTCGCATCTTCTCTCAGAAAGGTGGCTTGTGTTGTTCTGCCTTTAACTGGAGGAAAGAGCTCCGCTGGCTGAGATTCGGAAGGCGGCAGGGCCGCGGCTTCCTTTCCAGCGTCTCGGCTGAGAAATCTGATGCCGTTTTTATCCTCTGAATGCAACCTATTTTTGTTTTCCTTTCCTGGAATCTTTTAGATTTAAAAAAAAATCTGATGATCTGAAATTTCTCTAAGACGTGCCTTGATTCGGGCCAGTGCAGGACGCCAGGCTGGACAGTCCAGCCTGGAAACTGATCTCGGTCCCCCATCCGGCGCCGTGGCCGGTCGGCCGTGCCCTCGCCGGCGACACCTGGTCCCCTCGCTCTGGGTTGCCTTCTCTCATCCGCCGCCTTCCCGCTCCTGCTCTCGTGACCGTGGCTGGACACCTTTTAGAATTTCCTTTTATTTTTACTGAGATTTAATGAAGGAGTGGACGTAAGCCAGACAGCTCGCTTTGCCACGATTCGCTGGGAGTCGGCAGGGATTCTCTGAGACAGTGGCTCTCACACCTTTTCCTGTCGGGGAACCCTTTACATCGTTAAAAATTATTGACAACCCGAAGAGCTTTTGTTTATGATGGTTAATCTTTCGGTGTTCACTGTATTAAAAACTAAATCTGAAAGGCTTTTTTAAAATCTGTTTACTCACAACAGCAGAATAGCGAGCCTGTCACACGGAGCAGCAAGAGCCTGGCTGAGAGGAGGCAGCTGGGCTCCACGTGTCGCGAGGCCCCTGGCAACCTCCGCTGTGCACTCGTGAAAAGGGCTGAAAAAGACAAATAATGCTTTGCTATTACTGTGAAGGCAGTCTTGACCTTACAGAGGAGTTTTAGGAACTCCTCCAGGTTTCCCTGGGCTCTGGTTTGAGAACCGCTGCTTGGAGACACTGTGGCCTCGCTGCCCGTCCAGGCGGAGCTTGGCGGGACTTCTCCCGGACCTTCAGGCTCGAGCGCCTGACTCTGGAACTCTTGCTCGGTTTCTAGAACCAGATGAACTGGAAGAGCCGGAGTTTGTGGCTGAATCGCCCTCCGCAGAGGCCGCGGGCTGGGCTGGCCCCGGAAGCTCCAGGTAGCTGACGGGGGACTGACCAGGTGGGCTGCTTGCCCGGGGCAGGGGAGTCGCCCCGCGATGGCAGCCGCTATCCTTTCCCGCCAGTCCAGGCAAAGGGCACGGAGCTGGCAGGAGGAGGCAGAGACCGGCCGCCCCGGACCGAGTCCGGGCAGCACAGCGGCGACAGGATCTGAGCCGCCTGGACAAGCTGCAGGAGGAGAAAGTCCTCTTCATTCAGAAGACGCGGTGAGCAGCGCCGGGGCCCCGCCTGGTGGGCTTTCCACGCTCGTCTGCAGAGAAGCTGGAACCTGAAAACCAGTTGCAGGCGCCGTGAAACCTTTCTCCTAAGTACCCGGTTGTGTGAGAGGGGTCCCCGGAGGAGAGGGTGTGTCTGCGGGCCCCGAGCCCCCACCCCGTCCCGCTGCCCCCTCCCTGGCTGGAGGAGCGGGGAGGCACCTAGGGAGAGGGAGGCAGAGGGCCTGGGTGTCAGGGGACCGTTTATCCAGATTCTGGCTTCACCTTTCAGAGAGGAGCTGCGTGCCAGCCGCCAGAGGATGGACCTCGTGGCCAAGCAGCAGGAGAGCGTGGCAGCCAAGGTGGCCGCGGAGAGAGAGGCCAACAACATGTAGGTCGTAGGTGTGGGGGGCAACCTGGGGCCCGCGTGGGCCGCAGAGCGGGCTCCATCCTCCCACATCAGGGTCTGCACTCAGCACCTGCTGTGTTCAGCGGCCGAGCGAGCAGACCAGCCTCCATCCCGGGCAGGGCAGACACTCATAGTGGACACGAAGAGTCAGGTGGTCACACGGGGTGGCCATGAGTCTGGAGGGCAGTCACTTTGAAGCAGGTGGCAGGGGAGGCCTCCCTGAGGAGCTGACCCCCAGGCTGGGGCCTGAGTAATGGGGAAAGACCACCCAGGGGTGGGAGCAGGCAGAGGCCAGCAGGGCAGCTCAGGGACCGGGGTGGCACAGAGGTCAGCTGCCTGCACGGTCGAGTCCCCTGGGCAGTGTCACTCAAGGCCATTCTCAGAGAGACCCAGACCTGCAGGCTCAAACACCCTGGCAGGGATCTCAGGGGCGGTGCACCTCTCTGTCCTGCCTGCCCTGCGCCCCCCCACCTCTGTCCGTCTGCGCATCCGCACGAGGGGAGGGTACCTGCGGCTCCAGGAGGGCAGAGACAGGTGATGTGGGACGGCGCAGAGCGGCTCGGCCAAGAGGGTCTCATGGCGGCTTCTTGGCCGCCCAGATGCTTCTAGTCATGAAGCAGGTGTGCTGGGTCCTTCCCGGGCCAACCTGGCTGGGCCTGCAGCTCCGAAGGGCTGGCAGCGAGGGGTCCGACTCCCCCCGCTTGTAAGCAGGGGGCCGGCGGGTGCAGGGTCAGCACCCTCGGAGCCGCCCAGCCAGGGTGGGCCCAGGAGAAGCCTGTCCTCGACAACGCCACACTCCTGCCTCCCCGCTGGCCCGCCCAGATGGAGTCCTCTCAAAGATGAAAAGGCAGGCGAAGGTGCCCGGAGCCCTGGCCTGGGGGCCTCGTCTCAGCGCCGCTCTCCCCAGGGCAGCCGTGGGCCGCCTGGAGGCAGCGTCCCGACGCCTGCGCTTGGAGCTGGAGGAGGAGAGAGACCTGCAGTCCAGAGTCACGGCCGTGCTTCAGGAGAGCGAGTAAGTCCCGGGGTCACGCACAGGACGGGTCTGAGTAAGAAGGATATGTTTTGCACTTGACTTTCAAGCTGCCTGAAAACTGAACGGTAACCAGGACTTCACACGTTTTAAGCGTTTCTCTCTTTCTCGGTGTTTGAGTTCTTAGGATCTACGCAGTCAGCTTCTTTTCCCTTTTATCCTGGTCTCTGTGCTTCTGCGAACAACCAGCATGGTTTTAAAAAGTGCTTCACACCTTTCCCAGAATCACCTCCCTCCACCCCCCAGAGAGACCGCTGCCCTGTGTCAAGTACTTCCCGGTAGAGGGTTTAGGCTGCAAACGTCAGGACTGCCTCCAGCTGGCTTAAGGGTTTAGGAAGAGGCATGAGGGACAGAATCCGACTCTGGGGGGATCCCGGCACGACTCCCGGAAGTTCAGCCGTCCAGGCCCCGGGAGACCCAGCGGGCGGGGAGCTTCCATCCGGGGCTGGGGGTCCGACGACACAGCTGCCTCACACCCATGCTGCCCCGACGGAGCCCCCGGCCCGAGTCTCAGCTCGCCCATGGCGCTGGCCACACGGGAGTCCGGCCCTTTGCAGGAGGCGCCCACAGGGCTGGGAGTGGGCGTTGGGTGCCGGGAGCCTCCCCCCGGCGACTCATGGGGCCGGAATCAGTCTGGCCCGTTCCTCTTGTGATGCAGTCGGCCCCGATCCCGTGTCCTGTGGGCCAAGCTGTGACGCCCTCTGTAAACTGGGGAGGAGGGGTCCTTGTCCTGACAGCGTCCCTTCCCCGCCAGCTCCTGAGCGGCAAAGACCTGGTGGCCCTGCCTTTCTTGATCACTGCGTCCTCCATTTACTTTTTTAAAAAAACTTTAAAATTTTGAAACAACTTCAGATTTACAGAAGAGCTGCAAAATAGCACGAAGAATCCCTGTGTCCCCTTGGCCCCATCATCCCAGTGACACCTTCACAGCAAGGAGGCCCCACTTGGGGGTCGTGGGGTGGTCCTGCGTCCAGCTGGAAGGACCCCCAGCCCCCCCAACCGTGACACACATGACCTTGATAGTTTGAAGGTCCTGGGCTGGGAAAGGTCCCTCACGTCGCCCCACGTGCTGCCCCCTCGGGCTTGTCGTCTGGCGTCCACCCACAACGTGCTGCCGCGTCCTGCCCGGCGTCCTTGCAGCGAGGCGCCCGATGCCCGCTGGCCCTGCTCCGTGGGGGCTCTGACCACTTGGTTGAGGGCTGTCTGCAGACTTTCTCCATCACTGAGTCACGCATTTCTCTCGGAAACTAACACGTACTTTGTGGTACAAACTGCAAGACTCTGGAAGACCCATCCTCATCCTTCTCCACACTCTGGCTTTTGCATTTACTGGTGTTTCTTGTTTGAACCAGTTAAGAGGGCTGTTGCCAAAGCGCGCCTTTCTAGTTCCATCGTCCCGTCCAGCTGTGTGAGTCAGCGTGCTGCTGTGAGGAGCACCTTTCCCTTCTCCACATTCATTTATGCTTCCGTGTGACTCTCCCATTCCTGTTTCATTCGGTGGGTCACGGTCTCTCCCGTCGTCACTTATCCTGAGGCTCCAGTCATCGCAGATTTGGCCACGGGACCTCTTTCAGGCTGGCTCCTGTGTGCTTGTGACTCGCCCCGGTCCTTCTTTGGCACTTCCTGGCATAAGGACGTGGTCCAGGCCCCCTCATTTATTGTCCACCCCAGCCCTGGACCCAGGCAATTGTCCAAGGAGGCCTGGTTCCTCGCAGGGCAGAATGGTGTCTGGGGACAGAGCTGGGTGCCAGGTGCGCCCTTGCTGCTCCAGGCCCTCCCCAGGCACCCGGGAAGTGCGTGCACGTCTGTGCCTGTCTACACTGAAGCCACGGACTCACAGTGGAATCCCGGCTCCAACAGAACCAGCAGGCCATCTTGTCCCCTGTCCGACCTGGACGTCCCTCCTGTGACAGACAGAAACCTGCCTCTCTCCTCAACACTTCCAGCCCTCTCTCCATACCTCCGAGTGCCCATCTGCGGCCCTTGCCCAGCTGCCCGCGCTCCGACGCGCTCCTGCAGCCCTGAGCCCCCAGGCCGGGGCCCGTCCTTCCCCCGTGGGCGTGGCTGCCGCCAGGTGGTGCACTTACTTCGTCTTTAATCCGTGTCACCTACGTCTAACTTACATGCAAGGAAACGCATGTGTCCCTCACGCCTCTTCTCCATCCTCAGACCCCAGGCAACCTCTCTGTCCTCTGCCCCTTTGCATTAAGCGTGCAGAGCCTGCAGGCTGTACTCCCCGGGCCTGGCTGCTGCGCTGTGCACAACAGTTACGAGACGCACTGGGGCCGGCGCCCACGCCGTCGGTGCCCTTCTGGCCACACACTTGTCCCCTGTGGCTCCCCGTCCTAACCGGTATCCTCCGGGCCAACACAGTGACTCCCCTGTCCTTGTGGTCCAGTCATCGTGGAAGTATCGCTGGTCCTTCCTCAAGACCGGCCTCCCGTAGGAACAAAGGGTCCTCATAGCTGAGGAGGCCAGCTGCTCAGCGCCTCCCTGACCCCTGCCATCCCCTCTAGGCCACTCTCTCCAAGCCAGGGCCCCCCGCTGCCATGCCCTCAGTGTCCGCAGAGCTGACCACCCCCCAGCCCGCCCTCTGGTGGTGTGACTGACCAGATGCTCTCCTGAAACTGCTCTCAGGGAGGACTTGCCCTCGGGGCCCCTGCGTTGCTGCCGGTGTCTGTGTGCTGGACAGAACCTTCTTCACCCAGGGTCACCGGCACCCCAGGTGGCAGGGACATGCACAAGGCCCCCACGTGTGCGCTGAGGGAGGGCGGGCTGCACAGCAGGCGTCCACTGTCCCTAAGGACCTCCTCCAGGGGTGCCGAGCGCACTGCCTGCCTGGTGCTGCCGGTGTGCCAGGCTCGAGGCTTGGTGATTCAGAGTCCCTCGTTTATTCACTCAACAAACAGTAGCTGGGCACCTGCTCGGTGCCGAACACTGCTCTGAGTGTTTAGGGGTCACCCATGAGGAAAACAGCAAAAATCCCTGCCTCGGGGAAACTCTATCTGCGGTAACGACAGACAGACAGACAGACAGACAGACAGTAAACAAGCAAATCATGAAGCTTGTGCCAGGTGCACGTCTCCCAGGCTCCAGCCCAAACCCAGAGGGCAGGACAGTGTGGACACACCGCGGGGCAGGGAGCTGCAGGCCTGGAGGGCTCCTGGCAGAGCTGACCGACCCATCGATGGTGGTTGTCAGACTTGGGGCCCAATCCCTAGAGTGGACGCATGCAGAGGGCACAGCCCCAGATCTCTAACCCCTTTTCTGAGGTAAACCAAGGCATCTCTTGTTTGCAAGGAGGGCCATGTGGCACATGGAAATCCGGGAGGGGCAGCTGGAGGGTGTTCGGAAGTCAGCCCAAGAGGAGGCGGCGGCCGCCGAGCGGTTCCTCCAGAAGCGGGCGGCCGAGCAGCTGCGCAAGGAGGCGGAGGCCTCAGGGAAGGTGGAGAGGAACCGGCTGCTGCGGGTCCGGTAGGCACCAGGCCTCAGGCCCCGGCCCTGCCATGCCCTCCGTCCCACCCGAGCCTGCTCCTCCTGAGCCCCAGCCAGAGCTGCTAATGCCACCCTCTCTCACTGCCCTTCCCCCCACTCTCTGGACGCCCTGCCCTCTTCCCCGCTCCGGCCACTGCTTTGTGGCCTGTCCTCCCTGAAGCCCAGTCACTGCAGGTGCCCCAGGGCAGCCTCTTCCAGGGGGTCCTGCTC